AATTAGCACCCGCAGAAATGTTATAATTCAGGAATTCACATTATTTTGTTAGTGGTATAAAGAAGTCCTTGGCTGGTCATTTTGCCTCCTGTTATACTCATACTAGGAACTAGTTATGATCAGATCCAAGGCTTCCAAACTCCAGATGAGCCCAGGGGTCCTGAGGACCCAGGGGCAATGTCTACTTGTGTCTGTTGTCTACACGAATTGACTTGCTCTCAGAAATGTTCTGTTGCTGGTGGTTGTTTTGTTGGGCATGGCACCCGGGGCTGTGCTCATGCTATGTTAGCATGCTACCACTGGCCTGCACCACCAGCTCTTGATGTTTCGAGACTGGAGCTCACTGTGACCTCATTGTGTTGCACAGCCTAGACTGATGCGTTCTGCCTCAGCATCCGAAGTGTGGGGGTTATGGTTGCACACCCTGTGTCTGGCTCAAAATTGTCAATTATTTGTTATAAAGAACTAAAAAGAGGGCCAGGAGAGTTGGCTCAGCAATTAAGAGATCTTCTGTTCTTGCAGAACACCCAGGTTTTCTGAATCCACATCTGACTCACAACTGCCTGTAACTACAGATCCAAAAAGCGCGTCACCTTGTTCTGACCTCCCCAGGTACCAGTATGAGCGTGGTGGACATTCATACATGGAAGCACATACACAAAATACAAATAGACAAACATTTTTTGAGGACAAAAAAGAGTGACCAACTCCAAATTAAAGTGAAGTGAGCTCTCATGAGCCCTGACCATTTCACTGTGAAATGAGACAAAATGGATACACAATACAAGAAAACCATTATTCTTATTTAATCTTAGCCTGATATACCCACAGTGATTTGTTTGTTTGCTTGCTTGGTTTTTGGTTTTTCGAGACATGGTTTCTCTTGGTTAGCCTTGGTTGTTCTGGAACTCACTCTGTAGACCAGGCTGGCTTTGTACTCACAGAGATCTGCCTGCCTCTGCCTTCCGAGTGCTGAGATCAAAGGTGTGCTACCACTGCCTGGCCAATGCACAGTTTTTGTTTTCCTTTCAGTTTCATTCTGTCTATGCAGCAGTTGAGATTAGATTCGGGATTGCTTTCTCTAGTTGTCTAGCTGCAAGGGATCCGAACAGAAAAACCAGGATGAAGATACCCTGATGACAGAGTGTCAGGAAGGCTAAATCTGATTTCAGTTTGCTTTTTTAACATTAACATTCAAGTTTCTGTGAGTTCCGCCCACAAGTTTCACTAAAATAATACATCTTTTCTTCCAGCAGGAAAAAATGAAGGACTTTTTCATTCAACCCCTCTCTTTTTATATACTTTCAGCAAGCCCTCATTAAGTGTTAGGCACAATGCTAAGTACATGCTGTGTGCCTTTCATTTCATTCTAGAAATAATTGCAACAAGTGGGTAAGATAATTGTTTCCATGCTACACTTAAAGACTCTGATTCACAGAGGGCTTAGGTTACTGACCACAGACTCTGAGAAGCCCTAATGGATCCCAGGCTTGGGATAGGCTAAGGGACAAACACATCCTTTTAACCAGTACACCAAGCGATGAAAACTGAATGACCCTCAGTCCTCCCCTGAGATAAGCCAACAATAGTAACTAGAGCTTTTTAAACAATTCTCCTTGCTGTGTACATTGTCACAAGTGGCTCTTGTGATAATTCTTTATACGAGTCTGGGCTAGTATAAACCAGCATATGTACCAGAACTCCAAACACAGTTTGTCATGTGTCACAATAAGGCCGGCACTGCCGTACCTCCTGTAACCGTACAAAGGTTGATATATGATGTCTTCACATGCTCTTTGAGTGCACGGTAAAAGTTTTGTTGAAAACAGTGCAAGTTTGAATGGTTTGCAACATGAAACAGATCAAATTATTTTTTCAGACTTTGGGAACAAATAGTTCCTAAACTTGCAAATTAACTCTTTTGTCATGCTGTACCTATCATGGCTTTAAAGGACAATCTGGAAGAACATGGTGTCTGGGAGACTGTGGACTGGTTCAGCAGTGTGGTCTTCTTATTGGGTTAACACTGCCAATTCAGATATCACACACTTCCAGATCTTAGAAAACTCTCAAGTGAAAATGTTATTGCCAGGTGGAAATGCTACATGCAGACAGGGGGTTGGGCTGTGAATTTCCACATACCAGAGAGCATCCTGAGCGTCCCTGCGCCAGAAGATCCAAAGATTTTTATTCAGATGCAAAAATAGAAAGGTCATCGTAGGCCTGTTTTCCCCGGAGTTACAAAATAAATAAATAAAACCATTTTTCCTGCCTAAACTAAAGTAGTGTATCACCTCATAGTAAAAAGTAGACATTTGGTCTCTTGAAGACCCAATAATTTTTATGTATTACTTTTTAAAGAATTTTTTATTAGCATATATTAATTCTACATAAATATGGTTTCTTGGTACATTTTTGTACATGTGTGCAATGTATTTTGATCTTATTCACCACTAGCCTATTTTACCCTCTCTATTTCTCTTTCTACTCTGGTTGATCCCCTTCCTTTTACCAACTAGCAAATAACTTCCCCTCTATGTTCACATATGTTTCTTTTGTTTTCTGTTGTCTAATTCGCTTCCTTAGGTTTCCTCACAAGAGTATGGGCACTTTTCCAATGGTAATATCACAGAAGAAATGTCCTTCACTCCTCATCAGCCATTAACTGCCTATAAATCTCCACAGAAAATGAGGACCCCATGAACCATGCCCTCTTTGTGACAGAATGCCAAAGTGTAAAATCTTATGTAGATCTTGTCCCAGAAACCATGGTTGTGAGTTCAGGATTGCAACAGTGACTTCATGCTAAGAAGTCACTGATACACACACATCACTCATTCTTCTTTCTTACGTTTCTTTCTGCTCCTTCCTCTATGATATTCAAAGCATCTTATAGGCTTGGGATTGTTGTTTCATAGTGGCTGAGCATTCGATATTTATTCCCTATTCCCAGTGTTTTGGTCAAGTGTGAGTCTCTGTGGCTACTCTTGACCACTCTGGTGGGTGGGGGTGGGGTGGGGATACTTCCCTGAGCAACACTAGTCTATGGTCCTAGATAATACAGAATTATTTAGAAGGATATACTATGTCTACTTAACCAAACAACAGCGGTAGCTTTCCTTGGAAGGCCTATGCCCTGCTTAGCTATAGGCTTTTGATTAGACCCAACGTGAGTCTTGTAGAGTGCCACTCAAATAAGATTGGAGAGCGGTTGATTACCCCATAACAGACTTGCCACCGTGGTTCCAGTGGGCTCACCTTGCTGTGCTGGCTGGTTTGGTTGCACATTAGGTTCACACTTGAGTTAAGACTGTTGACTCTCCTCCACTAGAAACAGGCACACCACCTTTGGCACTGTGAGGGATAACTAGCAGACACCAATTATTTTTAAGAGACATGAATGATGGGAAAGCATTGCTAGCTATCCAGCAATTCTGAGAAGGTCAGTGGTGAACAGGTCATCTCACCCAGGTATCAACGCCTGGCTGTTTTCACATACACATATACACACTTGTCCTTGATGAACTTTTCTATGCAAGATTGCCCCAGGAATGTTTCCGCAACCCCAGGCGTACAGGTATATAACGTAATACTACAAAACAATTGTTTCCCAACCCCAGGCGTACAGGTATATAAAGTAATACTACAAAACAAACAATTGCCTATGGTGATAAGTCCTCGAGTAATCTGCTGAGTGTGAGGCCAAGATGGCCGTGAGACTCTCCACTTTAGGAATGTCTGAGCAAAGTAACGAGTGCTGGCCATTTCCCTCATCATCCCCAGTGCAGATGTAACTCAACATGCAAAGGCATGGTTCAAAAGTTTCTGGGGACCCTGAGCAGCCTTCATTTCTGCCTCTTCCCAGAGATGTCCCAGGCTGCTCTTGCATCCTGGAAAGCCAAAGCCTTCCACGTTAGCAAGCATTCGTTACTTAGCCAGAGAACTCAGCTGTACAGCAAAGCTAAGAGGAAGGGGACCTAGACAGGTCCCGGGACTCTTCCAGGGTCTGAATCTGCTTCAACTGCTGCATAACAGCCCAGAATCCAAACATCTTCCTTTGCGGACTGGAAATAATCCCACTCAGTAAACAGTTCACTTTGCTTCTGAATGTTTTGCCAAAGATTCACCAAATCACAGATTTTTTAATGTTGGGAATGGTAAAACATTGTTAGATGCTTCACTGGAACAGGGTGGGTTTAGACTGAAAGAGCTCAGGCTGGGCAGCCCACAAACAGCAGTCTAGCTGTCTCGGAACAGTAGCAAAGATGGACCTCTTCCAGGCAAGCCTATATAGACCACCTTCCCTGGATTCCACCTTCCCACCCGGTTTCTTCCTGATAATGCAGGCAGCTTTTCAGCAGCAAAGTCAATTCGATTTGTTAACTGATGGCCCTGCTTCCTAAATGGATTAAAAGAAAATAATCATGATAAATACAGAGTGCATTGTGGGTGAAGAACTACTCCAGTCACTGGCGGGAGGGTGGGGTGGGGTGGGGGACAGGACTTACTGGATGGAGGTTACATGGGACTGCTTGGAACAGCCGAGTTATATGTGTGATGCAATCACAGCAGAAGTATGAGTCTTGCACAGGGGCTGTGAAAGTGTGTTTGCAGGGTTTTCTTGGGATGCAGCGCCTGTTTTCTCGGGATGCCATGAATGTTCACTCCAGGGCAGTGAGAGAAAAGAAGGCCAGTGTTGGGATCAGCTTCTGCAATGGCAGATGAAGTTTGTTATTCCCCATCCCGAGGGATTTAGTAAATGGTTTTGGGAAAGAACACAGTGCATACTGCATCGGTCGCTGCCTCAAGCCCCTGGGGGAGTTGCAGTTAAAGTCCGGGTGCTAGGGTCTGAAGGTGAGTGGAAGGAAGCGGCGTCAGTCAACTTCCTCGGCTGCGGTGGCTGTGGCAGCTGGGTGTGCACCGGGCTACGCCGCCCTCCCCTGGGCCGGGAAGGGGCGGAGCTGGGCGTCACCGGCCCGGGTTGTCCCCTCCTCCCCGCCGCTTTCGGGTGCAGAGCCCTCCGCGGTCGCGGCCGCTCGGAGGGAGCTCTCCCGGAGCCGGAGGCGTGAGTGTGGCTGCCGGGGCTGGGCTGCGGGAGCTCGGTCGCGCCTGGTGTTGGTGAGTTCCGTCGCGGGGTGGTGGGGTGGGGGTGGGGGAACAGGGAGATGGCGGGGTGCAGGTCTCCACTGCGATGCTGGAGAGTCTCTGCCAGGGCTCAAGAGGCGGGGATGTCAGAATCGAGTCCTTGGGGAGCGCCTGACCCGACTCTGCAGCGAGGATGTAGAACCGCATTGACAGGTGTCGCGCGACCCCAGGGGCTGGGATTGGGACCCGATGTTGGAGTTTCAGTACTGCTTTTTTTTGTTGTTGTTTTGTTTTTTGTTTTTTAGAATGCAGGATAGACAGTCCAGACCGTAGAGTTGGGGAGGTGCAGAGCCCTGAAGGACTGGATCTAAGGACTCCGAACTGCGGTGTTGAGAAGCTTGGGGATGGGAGCCTGGGAAACTGGGGTTTGGGGTAGATGTCACGATGGTTAATTGAGGGTGTATGAACGCAGAGAATAGGAGGGCAGGATCCAGGGGAGGGGGAGTCCTGTGCGCATTCTTGGGGCGCCCTCCACAGGGCAAAAAACGGAACCCCGCAGGGGAATGCCTAGTAGAGGAAGGGCAGGACAGAAGGGGGTGCCGAGGGAGGGGAACCCCGGAAAGAGTAAGGTGAGCAAGGCATGAGCTCCTCCTTGAGGAGGATGGAGCAGGGTACTCATAGGAGAAGCTACAAGGAGCTTAATTGTGCTGAAAACCGAGGTTTGCTGATTTAGGGGCTAAGGTGAACTGAGGGACTGGAAAGCACGAAGTTGCAGAGGTAGTTGGCGGTACAATGCTGGGAATATATTAGTCTTGGGAATGCTATCTTTTCAGTGGAGGTGGTTGTGGACCTCCACAACCAGGAGGGTATCCCCTTGACAGCAGATTGAGGAGCTCTAGACAGGACAAATGGGGTCTAGGACTCAGCAAGCCATGGAGTATTGGGAACCTAGTGGAAGGCTGGCCAGTTAGTCATCAGGACCTGGAGGCAATCAAGTGTCTCAACTTCCTGAGCAGTATTAAGTACCCAGTGATAACAGAGGGACCCTTGGTCCTGGTGAGCACTTTGTCTTGCTTAAGTGGTACCTCATATTTCCAACCTGGGTTAGAAATGGCTTTGCATGGACATGTGATGAGAAGAGACTGGGCAAAAGGAATAATCACAGAGTGAGATTTCCGATACATAATGGTTATCAACCTTGTGTGCTTTGGGCAGAACACATATAATGTAGGTGTGTGTAGAGTCGTAATCCACAGGTACCATTTGCTCTTGTGCAGTCAGGGGCAGCTTCTGAGAAAACATGGAGGGGGAGAGCGTCAACAAGCGCATTGCATACCACAGGCAAACTTTAGTGTTCTAGAGTCCTGTAGTCAGTGTCTGTACTAGCGAGGATTCCTTTTCCTGTGGTTAAGAGGAAACTGCCCTTGTAGAAGGTACTAGCCACAATTGCTCTGTTGAAGTTATTCGTGGCCTGCCCTCATGTCTGTTCCATCCCTGGCATCTCAGAGGATAGGTGTCTAAGACATATCTAAAAACGTAACCTAGGCTTTGTCTCTTTTCTGTTGTTGAACTTGGGTGTGTAAGTCTTTCATTTAAAGTAATGCTGAATATCTGGTCGACCCACCCTGCACTGTTAGTTATGTGTGGTGTGTAGTTTATCTGTGTCTAACAACTGATTCATGGTGCCTCTGATTTCTTTGCCATTGGAAGGTACTTGTGTTTGGGAAAGAATTCTTTCCTTCCAGGCCGTGGGTACAGGAACATCCTCTGGCACACACCAAAATGCCTGCTCCCTGAGAAAACCAAGAGCTATTTTCTTTTTAAAAAACATTTTTGGGGACCGACAAGGACTCACGTAGCCCAGATTGGCCTCAAACATAGCTAATCCTTTTATCTCTACTTCCTAAATATTGTAATTACAAGCGTGTGCATTACCAGAAGTATTTATTTTTATTTTTATTTTTTTGGTGCTGGAGATCAAACTTAGCCTAACACATGCCAAGCAAGCACTCTACCCCTCAACTCTAGCCCCAATCTCTAAGAGGTATTTGAGGAACTGACATTTAGTGGGTCTGATTTTATTCATTCTGAAACAGTGTCTTCTGTGTATCCCTGGTTAGCCTGCAATTCACTATGTAGACCAGACTGGCCTTGAATTTACAGAACTCCATCTGTCTCTGCCTCCCTAGTACTGGGAATAAAGGTGTGTGCCACCCAGCTAGCTAAGTCTGGGCTTTGTTTTGTTGGGTGGTGATGGTGTGATTTTTTTAATTTTAATTTTATTTTTTGTTTGTTTCAAGTTTCCCTTTTCATTCAAGAAATGGAAATCTCCAATAACTCTGCAAACTAACAGGAGAGGCATGCTTTCATTTCAAAACATCATATTAGGACTTGCTTTGTGCCTACAGAGAGCTTGCTACATGGCCTGACCCTTGCATCAAAAATCCGAAATATCATTGTTACAGCAGTCTGTCTATTCATTTCAACATAAAGACAACCGAGGGGTTCAATTCTTTATTTAAGTATTAAAACAAATACGTCTTTATTCTATATCCAAGTGAATATTTCTCCCCTTCAAAAGCATTCCTTTGGCAAGAGGGATACTAAATCTAGTGATGCTGTCATTGCTGAGAATAGTCCCGGAGCGCCTGCTTTGGAGCTGTCTTCAGACGCTGCAGCGCATCTTGCTGATTGCCCCAGTGTCTGCAAACCTGCAGTTGGCAGAGACAAAGGCAGAACGAGGCCAACATGGGCTTCTGGAGAACCAGGGTTATACATACGGCAGTATTTCTCGCTGAGCTAAGTCAGAAGTTGTGTCATATTTATGACAGCAACAAGGCATCTTCGAGGCAAGAAGGAACACCCTGGGAAAGGCGTAGAGGTCGCTGTCCACTTGGCCCAGGTGATCTGGGTTTACGGAAGGGCTGAGCAGCAGGGCTGGGAGTATATGGCAGAGCAAGCTCTCACTTCATAGTTACCCCCCACTAACCTTCCCCACTTCCAATACCATAGTCCAAACCTTCTAGACAGTAGCTACTGGGAGAAATTTTAGATCCAAAACAGCCAGATGTAGCGGCACATGATTTTAATCCCATCACCAGGGAAACACCAGCAGGTGGGTCTCTATTAGTTTGAGCCCAGCCTGATATATATAGCAAGTTCAACCCAAACTACACAGTGAGACCATCTAAAAAAAATTAAGATACAAATCAATAAACTTACCACCTTCATTTGAGTGTTTATGCTCTAGCATATGTAGAAAAAATAACTTAGAAATACCCTTTAATTGGTATTCCTTCTAATGTATTAAAACATGTGAAAATAAATCTCTTTTCTCCTTGATGTTTTTGGCTGGGCGGTTTGTATTGCTGCAGATTTTTACAAGCAACAAAATAAGAGACGAGTTCTCTCTCCCCCGTCTCTCTCTCTCTCTCTCTCTCTCTCTCTCTCTCTCTCACACACACACACACACACACACACACACACACACACACACAGTACCCAGGAAGCCATGCTTATACGTGCTTATGCCTAGCGCTTGAGTTTTGAGTTGGATTTTTAACTTTCTATACAGGCTAGTGGAAGAGAATGACCTCTGAAAATGCATTTAACATAGGGATTCCGGGACACACTGGAAGAAGCCAACAGAACCAGGATGTAACCCCTCTTTCACTCCACCGTGGCTTGACTCTGGTCTAGGTGTGTTCTTGGCCATGTTGTTTCACCTCTTTGAAGCTCCCTTTCTACCACATGGATCATAATTTTAATTTCAAGTGACATCTGTTTAAAATAGGAATAATAATAGGTGTGGACCCCGTGGCTTTGGGAGGAAGATTAAATGTGATTTGTGCATAACAGAATAAGTACTGAGGGGAGTCTGGCTGTTTTAATAGTCAAATTATTTATTAGTAGGCTTATATTAAAGTTCTTTTGTTTTTATGTGAAAATTTATAATTTTATAGGAAATGACAGTCTTTTTAGCTAAGCTTGGTATCTTAATATATGGATGAGAAATTTTTCTTTTTATCTTCCTAACATCTTCAGTTTTTGTTTTTAATTTTCAAATTGTGGCTTTAAAAGCAACTACTATTACTTTACTTTTAATTTATATGTTTTGAATGTGAGCATTCCTGCTATGGTTTTATATTACAGCTCGGCATGGTAGTGAACATTTAAAGAAAAAAGTAATTTAAAAGTCTTCCCTGTAGCCCTTTCTTTCTACCCCATCCTATAACAATGCCCTTCCTTCTTACTTCCCTTTCCCCCTCCTTTCCTCTCTCCCCCTCCCTTCCTTCCAATGAAATACATATAGCTCACTTAACAGATTTTGAAGTTACTAGCCTAGCACTTACTGCATAACTGGACATGACTGAACTTCTGATCCTCCCTTTGCCACCGTGAGTTCTGGGATCCCAGGTACCTGCTACCACTGTGCCTGGTTTATATGGTGCTGGAGATTGTTCCTAGGTCCTTATGAATGCTGTGCAAGTGTTCTCCCAACTGAGTTATGTCCCCAGCCCTGGGAATGATGACAATGAACATTCCTCTTTATTAAAATGGGAGTTCATTCTGTCTCTTTTTTTTTAAGGACAAAGAAGAACAATTTGTCATTCAGTTCTCAGCTGTTTCATAAATATCAGCATTAAGTTTTTCTGTGAATTTTACTATTCAGATATAAGCCGGGAAGATGGTATAGCAATTTTAATCAAATGATCAGGAGTTATTATAAAACATCATATTTCATGACAGCTCCTGGTTTGGATACCAGCAAATGTCAGAACTGTATAGGGACATAAACTGTGGACTTTGCCTCTCCAGAGCTCACATAGGTGCTATATACTGTCTTGGGAGTTTGTACTTCTCTTGTTGCTGAGACAAAATAACTAATAAAAACAAGTTAGGGAAGGGTTTATTCGGCTCACAGTTTGAGAGAACGGCTCGCCATGGTAGCTGGTATGGTGGCAGAGCCAAGAGCTCTGCGGTCAGGAAGCAGCGGGAGGTGAATGCTGATGTTCAGTTCATTTTCTCCCGTT